CTTCGAGATCCAATCAGAGCTTCTAGGACGCTTCACTCTGCTTGCAGTGAGGACATACCCACACTTGGGCACGCAGCTGGACGAATGGGGATCCATCGGGCCCGAGCTGGCCCATCGGGAAGCGTCTGTGAGGTCGTCTAGTACACTACTGCGTAGACGGGTCTTTGGCTCCCCTATTGGGCTCCCACCACAGGCCACTCTGCACTTTGTGGACACGCTTATTTTCGCGGGCCTCCTCTACAACGCAGGTACATGGCCCGAGCTCACGGAAGCTCAGCACGCGCACATCCAGCACCTGATCATCAACAAATATCGTCAGGTTCTGAGGGCCCCTCAGAAGGACTCCGAAGCAGACCCCGACAAGCTCATACTGGCACGGGTACGACGGGCGGATTTACGTGCGGTGCTTAGAGTACACAGGTTACGCTTGCTGGGTCGCCTCTTACATCATGGCACACCTACGCTACGCAGCCTACTTACGCATGCTTATCGCAAGGCGCACGTACACAAAAATACATGGCTACACAGAGTACTACAGGACTTACAGTGGGTGCGAACTACGAACTGCCGACTTCGTGATATGCCAGATCCAGCTGAGGACTTCCAGGCATGGGAAGTTCGAATATCGCAGTCACTCCCAGCTTGGAAGAAAGTATTGCACGCCACCCTCGCTGCGCACGCAGATGCAGCGGCAAGAGCAGCCTTGGCCGACAAGGCGCAGCAGGATTTCTTTCAGCTTGTGCACCCGGCAGGAGTACCAATACCGATCACGAACGTGAATCACCCTCTCCATCCCCCCCCCCACAGGTGCAAGCCGATCTCCGATGCATGTGGTGTGACTATGTGGGGTAAGACTGCAAAGAGCACGCGACAGCACATCGTGCGCGTACACTACAGCCAGGTACATGTGGTATCCAGGTTCATGGGGGAGGGGACAGTATGCATGGCGTGCTCTATGGCCTTCTCCTCTCGGCGTCTTCTCAGGGATCACCTTGCCTTTGACGCTGCTGTGTGCCAGCTGGCCTACATTTTGCACGGAACCACGGTCCCTCCAGAGAGGGCGGAGGAGCTACGACAAGCAGATCTCGACTTGCATGCGAAGCAGCGACGTGCAGGACTAGGCAGATGGAGAGCAGCATTCCCAGCACATGTACAATATCCAATGGAAGGGCTCTACCCAGCAGCCATGTTTGCAGCAGCCTTTTTCTCTGAGAGTGAGGCCAAGGAACTTCTTCGTACACATGCATACGAAATAGGGCCTACAGCATTATCAGCATACACAGCTCTCTTCACTGATCCCCCCCAGCCAGCAGTGCAGGAAGGACTTACGTACAGTGACAAATACTACAGATATCGACCGCAGGATTTCAGTGGACCAGCCGCCGGGTGGATACCCGTACGGGTGCACAGAAAGGAGATTTTTGTGCTCAACCTTTTTTCAGGCAGGCGACGCGAAGGCGACGTTCAGGCATGGATTGAGCAGGAGCATGTTGCGACAGCCTACCATATTATCATGCTTTCAGTGGACATAGCCATTGACACAGACATGGGGGACCTCATGCGCACAGATACTATCGCACAGTGGGGTGAACACATCTTGGCTAGACGGGTGTGGAACACAGGGGGGGGGCCCCCCTGTGAAACCTGGAGCGCGGCCAGATGGCTGGACGGGGGTCCCCCCCCACTACGTACACATGAGTGGTACTGGGGCGTCCCGTGGATTTCTGAATGACAGGCCCTCCAACTACATGTGGCCAATACGTTACTGCAGAACCTGGTGTTCCTCTTGGGCTGCCACATGGTGGCGGGGACCTCTGGGTGGATCGAACATCCCCTCCCGGCCCACTGGAGGCCAGAAGCCCCCAGCAGCTTCCACTGGGAGCCCCTAGAGGCCCTAGCCTCAGCCCCCATCACGATCACGGCCGACTTTGACCAATGCACGTTGCAGCCGACAGATCGAGACCCTGCGGAGTTTGGAAGAGCTCCCACGCGTCTCCTCGGACTGAGGATGCCATGTTTGCGACGACGCCTGTGCGAAGGACCAGGCAATGGCTGGTGTCACCACGGGAAAGGAGTGCACAAAATACTGCAGGGGAAGGAACTTGTTGGAGGGCGTAAGGTCTTTAAGACGCATGCCAAGAAAACATCTCCAGAGCAGATGTGTGCACGTTTAGCAGCAGCCATTGCAGCCTCTATTCAGAGTATCTATGCAGATGCTGACAACGACGAGCAGCAATTCGACGAGAGCGCGTTGTGCGCCGACCAATGCAAGTTTTACCTGCCAGAGATAGGTGTGGATTTCGAGCCCGCACCAGACTTCGCGGCAGGAACGACTAAGATGCAGAGAGCCGATCCAGAGATGCACAGGTTCCAGGAAGATCCCAGTGAGACTCCTACGGGCCCCATATGTGCTCCGACTCCGGCTACCACCCCTGCTCCGACTCCTGCTCCTGACAGCCCCAGCATGAATATTCCCATGCATGAGCCAGGATCGGATGAGGAGTTAGATGCAGAGAGTTTGTTGGGGCCTTTCCCCTCTCTCCCCTCCTCTCCCCCGCCGCCGTTGCCGCCGTCGCCGCCGCCCCCCCCGCCCCGCCTCACCCCAGAGCAGCTGGCACGCATAGCGGCCAATCGCTCCGAGGCGCTGCGCAGGCGCCAGGCCAGGAGGGCCGCGGCCCACAGGCGACGGGCTCCCTGGTCAGGGAATATTTCCTTCGCCTCCTTTTTCGAGGCGGGACCCACCGCTGCCGCCCCCGCCGCCTCTCTCGGCCTTCCTCTTACAGAACAGGAAGCCTAGGCGGGGAACGCGGCACCACGACGAGAGCTCGCGAACCCTTCGCCATGCCTGCGTCCCACCACCACCACTCATCCTCACCCTCACCCTCCTCCTCACCCACCTCGCCCTCCTCCTGGTCCTCCTCCTCCTCCTCCTCCTCTTCCTCCTCCTCCTCCTCCTCCTCCCCCCCCCGCGCCCTTGTCCCTCTCCCTAACCGTTCCCCGAGGAGGAGGAGGAGGAAGAGGAGGAGGGCGGAGGAGGAGGAGGAGCAGCAGGAGAGGAGGGAACAGGAGGAGGAGCAGGAAAAACAGGGAGCACGGCAGGAGCAGGCAGCACGAGAAGCAGGAGGAGGGAGGGGAGAGGAGGGAGGAGCCGGGGAGCAAGAGGAGGGAGGGAGGAGCAGAAGGCGGGAACGCAATGGCATGGGACCATCCACGATGTCACAGTAAAGAAAGAGAGAAGATTGCCTGCCCGACCCACGCGAACACCTTGAGACCCTCGCGCCTGCCCGCCAAAATGGCACCCACAAAAATGACATGGGCGTCGCCTGGATGGGGTTGACCGCCGTATGTACCCAACACCGCGCTGTATGATTAAGCCAAGCGCGCCCAGCACCGCACGCCCACCGCGCACCACGAGAATCACCCCCGCGGCCATGGCGAATCGCCCGTGTCGTGCGAAAACACAACACGCACCCATGCGAAGGCATGGTGTGCTGGCAGTCACCGAACCTAATGCGTTGGCACTGCGACGGAACTCAAACGTGCGACAAACCAAGCAAACAATATAAAACATAGGAATCGGAAATCAGCTAGGAATGTACTGGTGCCGGTACGCGCTACAGACCCATGGGATACCCTTCGAGCGCAACAAAAAACACTATACCAAACCCGATAGAAAACAACCAATGCGATACCACATAAAAAAAAACTGGATTGAGGATCTTCCAACAAGGACATGAATGCCACTTATCGGCGCGTGCCTAAGCCAACACTGGCGAGGACTTGATCACCTGCCCGGGAGAACATGAAGCACACAAAGAGCAGATGGACAAGACGCCGGTCACCGTTTACCGCACACCTAACAAATTTGTCCAGTCCCGCCACCCGACAGCTGCTGCAAGCCAAATCCGCGGCAGACATCGGAGTCCTCCAAGCGCCTCGAGAAGGCACTGGACGCGGCTGGAGGGCCATCGCCAAGCCAAAAGCCATGGACGAACCTCGAACCGCATGTGCTTGAGAGAAGCCACAGGAGAGAGAAGCGGGGAGCAAGAGTAGAAAAAAGGGTGGACAACAAGAGGAAAACGAGAGCACTTACACGTCTGACCGTGCCGGAAAAAATTAAGATGGGAAGGCAAGACACTTGGGAAACAAACGCAGCAAGAGGAAGGGGGAGGGAGAAGAAGGAGGAGGGACTAGGAGGAAGAGGGACCACTGCAAACCCAAGACGCATCAACGGTACTGAAATATACCCTCCCTCCAAGCTCCCCCTTCATAGGCCCTCACATTGGTTCATTTCCACTGAAGGAACTGCCTCGTGCGGGGACAACCGTTTGAAGACCCTGAAGAATGCCAAGATACTATTGTCGGGGCTCCGATGCCAGAGGTTAACCTGGCTTTTGCGCCTTGGCGATCCTGAGTCGCGCTAGAACATCATTCCTGGGACCCCAATACCGCAATATCAACGTGACTGTTGCACCCTCGCAATCCTCAGTTCTTCGAACACATTAATTCTGGCACGCTGACAATGGAAATCCGTGAAACTCTTGCCAATGTTTAAAACATGTGTGCGCGGCGCTATTGCAAGAACCACATGTTGAAAACGAACAGCCCTCAATCCGTGACCCCCTGCAATTGTTAGAGGCGAGTGCGCGCAACGCTGAAACGAGAACCACATTTTGAAAACCGCCCGCCCTCAATCCGTGAAACTACTGCAAATGGTTAAAACGGATCTGCGCGGGACGGCCCGCCCTCCATGTGAGAAACTGTTGTCGATGTTCAAACTTCAGGGTCATCAGTTGTGAGGAAGTCTGCGGCGAAACGCCTGGCCCGCCCTTTCGACAAGCCTCGGGGTGCGACAGGGAGGAGCTATCCACAAGGAAAAGGAATAGAGCATGGAGGAGGAGGAGGAGGAGGAGGAGGAGCAGGAGCAGGAGGAGGAGGGAGGAGGGCCCCCTGAACGGGATTGCGGCGCGGCGGCGCACGCGGCGACAGCCCGTGGGGACGAGCTTCGCCGCGTTCGCCGCCTCGCCGCCATCCTTCCTCGGGAGCAGCGGCGACTGCTCCCGCGGGGCCGCGCCGCCGCAAGCGCTCATCGCGCCTGCCGTGTGCCGCGGTCCCTCGGCCGCCTGACTGGCCTGGGTCGCCGTCCTGCTCCCTGCTCCTCCTCCGCCTCCTCAACCCTCCTCCTGCCCCTCCTCCTGTCCCCTCCTCGTCATCCTCCTCCTGGTCCTCCTCCTGGACGTCCTCTTGTGTTGTTATGTTCCCGGCCCTTATCATCTTCCTCAACATCAGCATCATCACAAACACCATTATCATCCTCATCATCATGATACTCGACGTCGTCATCGCCATCATCATCATCATCATCATCATCATCATCATCATCATCATCAGCAGCAGCAGCAGCATCATCATCGTCATCATCATCATCATCAGCATCAGAGTCAGCATCATCATCATCATCATCACCATCATCATCATCAACATCATCATCGTCATCATCAACAGCATCATAAACATTTTCAGCATCGTCATCATCATCATCAGCAGCATCAGCATCATCAACAACATAAGCGTAAGCTTCATCGACATCAGTATCATCATCATCATCAAAGTCATCATCATCACCATGTCATAATCATCATCGTCATCATCATCGTCAAAATCGTTATCGTCACCAGTATCGTCATCATCGTCGTCATCATTGCCGTCTACATCCAGACCAACAGCATCAGCAACAGCATCATCACCATCATCGTCGGATCGTCGTCGTCATCAACATCATTATCATCATCATCATCATCAGCATCATCATCATCATCATCAGCATCATCACCGTCATCGCCATCCTCATCGTCAGCAGCATCACCAGCCAGCATCGTCATCATCAGCAGTATCAGTATCATCGCCATCACCATCAATTGCCTAACCATCATATTCGTCATCATAATCATCAGAAGCATCATCAACATCATCATCGTAATCGTCGTCAGCATCATCATCCACACCATCCTCATCATCAGCAGCAGCAGCAGCAACATCATCGTCGTCGTCAAAGTCGTCCTCGTCGTCTTCAGCATTATCAACATCATCAACATCATAGTCATCACCAGCATCATCACTATCATCATCGTCATCATCACCATCATTAATATAATCGTCATCGTCGTCATCGTCCGCAAAATCATCATCATCATCATCAGCAGCATCATCATCATAATCATCCTTCTCAACATCGACCTCATCATCATCGTCGTCGCCTTCGTCGTCGTCGTCGTCGTAGTCGTCTTCGTCATCATCAGCATCATCATCAGCATCATCAAAGTCATCATCAACATCATCACGATCATCATCAGTATCACGATTAACATCAAAATCATCATCATTATCATCATCGTCGTCGTCATCATCGCAAGAATCATCATCAGCAAAATCATCCCCTCCTCTTCCCCGCTCCCCGTCCCCGTCGTCTTCGAACGATGAAGAATGAGGAACGAGGAGGAGAGGAGAGAAGAGGAGGAACGTAAGGAAAGGACCCAGTCATAGTTCTGGAGACTCGAAACAATGCCGCGCAGTGGCCAAGTTTATTTGCCAACTTCTGGCGTAAAGGAGAAGCCGTTTCTGGACTCGGGGCAGCCATCTTGAGGGACCCACGAACACACTAAGGAACTTGAATCAACTGTAATGCTGACATGGCTTCTGCACGCGTGTTACGCAATTCGCGTTAAATTTATATCCCGACTAGTATGGATGCGCATGTCGGCGTTCATTTCGATCGCATTATTTTCAACTCGATGTGCAATCCGATTGCATTTCTAACAACATTCCGATTTGGATTGTGATCTACCTTCCGGTCGCACTTTCATTTGCATTGCGATGTGCATTCCGATGTGAACTTGAATGCTCATTTGTATGCTCATTTCGAAGTGAACTTCGATGTGCACTCAGACTTGATTTGCAAAACTCATTCCGATGTACCATTCGGTTTTCATTTCGAATGTCATTGGATTTTCATTCCGATGGGCATTAAAGAACTCATTCGAATTTACAGTTCGGATTGATTGACGACTTCAATTGGAGATGCATCTCTATTTGAATGCACTGTTGCATTCCGATGTGCATGTTGATTTGCAATTCGGTTTGCGCTTCGACTTGCAACTCGATTTGCATGTCTATTTTCATATGGCTTTCAATTCATATTGCATTTCAATCTGCATTTCTCCAGGGATATCCCGCGGGACAGCCCTCGGGAGAACCCAAGGCACACAACCCGCGGGACAGGCACGGGAGAACCCACGAGACGACCCGCGGGGAAACCGCGGGACAGCCCACGAGACAACCGCGGGACAGCCAAACAACAGCGGGACAACCGCGGGATAACTGGGGGACGACCACGGGAGACGGCCGTGGGACCACGACCGCGGTCGGGTCAGGCGAAAGGGGGGGATATAGCAAAGAGGGGGTTCGAGAATCAGCTGGCGTAGCTGCTTTTCCCGGCGCCTCACGGCGCCAGAGGCGGCCACGTCTCGAGGAGTGAGCCCCTTCGGTGGGGCCGAAACCAGCTGCATAACGCAGATTTTGTAACCCCCCCTTTCCCAATCCCCCCCTTTTCGTCCGGCCCGAAAAGGGTCACTCTCACGTGTTGCCGATCAGCTACACAAAAGCTAAGGGCCACCTCACGTTTCTTGTCCTCTGGCTCGCGGGTCATAGCTCGGGTCTCTGGCCGCGGTTCGGGACAGCCCAGGCACCTCCGAAAATCTCCCGGCGAGGCGCAATTGCTGCAGAAATCGATGCGGTGTTTCCGTGCCGTCCGGCCCGACACGGGGAGGCACCGCGCAGCCGCAGGAGCGGAGCTGCCTGCGCGCGCTCTGGACCCCCAGAGCGCGCCGGCATGTGTGAAGGGGCCCTGGGACACACAAATAAATACACACAAATAAAAAGATTCCGTATCTTTTCTCATATTTTCTGGGTTTCTGTATTCCCCCCACTTGCCATCTTTTCCCATATTTTCTAAGGAATCGACGATTAATTGTGTCTGTGCGTTTTTATCCCTCCTGAACGTGGAGCTCCCCCCCTTCGCGCGCGGCCTCGCCTCGCCCGCGCACGGCGCGGCGCGAGGCCGAGGCCGAGGCCGAGGCGGCTGCCAAGTTGGGGTCGCCCTGTGCTCGGCCCCCGCATTCCGACCGCCGTGGATGCTGCGCCATGCTCTGCGTGGTGCTTCCCTTCTGCATGCTGCGCGGTGCCGTGGCGTGTCCGGCCGACGTGTGGCGCACCTTTCCGTGCCCGGGTGGCGTGCGACGTGGTCCCATTCCTCCATCTCCCCGCCCCCCCGCCTTCTCCTCCTGCGCCCTCTCGCTCCTCTTCCTCACTCCTCCTCCCTCTTCCTCCTCCCTCCTCTTCCACACCCCTCCGCTTCTACGTCCCCCTCTCCCCCCTCGTCCGCCTCCTCCTCCCTCCTCCTCCTGCTGCCTGCTGCTCATCCTCCCCATTCTCCCTTCTGCTCCTCCTCTCCGGCCCCCTCCTCCCTCCTCCCTGCTGCTCTTCCGCGTCCTTCGTCTCCCCGCCCGAGGTGGCGACGCAACGCGTCGCTCAAACCGCCCGCTCCCCGCCAGGCGGTTGCCCCCCGCCCCTGCACACATTCAATACGTGCCAGATGCACGCGAGCCGAACCCATGTTCGACACCTCGCCCCATCCGCGAACAGACAAGGCATGAAGAGTACGCCGGCCGCATGTTCGACGACATCCCCCACCTGGGCGCCCATACTCGGGCCGCATCCTCGACGCATACACATTTGAAAACGCGTGCCCGACGCGCAAGTGCCAGACGAATGTTCGACACCACCACTACGCAAACGTATGCGCACATGTGAAGTATCCGTCGGCCGTATGTGAAAACACGTGCCATATGCACATAAGCCAGACCCATGCTCGGCATCACCCCCTCTGGGCACGGGTTCGCACGTGTGGGAAATCTACTGGCCGAATGCTGAACACCCTCTCTGGAAGTCCGCACGCGTGAAAGCACGTGCAAAATGCACACGTGCCGAATGCACGTTCGATACCATCCTCTCGGCGCATGTATGTTACACGTCTTGCCACCAGCACATGGGCACATCAAGGCACTGCGCAGACAGTGTGGAGACGAGACCCCAACGGCAAGGAAGACGGGGGCTGTGAAGCGGGATCAGCTCCATCACACTCCTTCGCTCATGGACGGCGGGGCAAAATCGTAGATAACGGGCCCGTGCATCCTGGCGATTGCGACGACTCCGCCAGCCCTTTTCGATAACCCTCAGGGGGCCCTGGCGCCTGCACGCGTGAAACCACATGCCAACTGCAAGCCGAGCCGCATGTTGGACACCCCTTCGGCGCCTCCCCCCACCCTTCGCGTACATACTTGCACGTTCGGAAGGACTCCGACGCAACCTGCTTTATACCCTGTCCAGTTTAAGGGCAAGAAGACCCGACGCAAAAAGCACACCCTGAGCCAGAGGCCTTACAAGGAAACTTGAAGGATCCACGAACCTGATCAGGACCTTCGGCCAGACTTCCTTCTGACACGTCTGCTTTACACTCGCGGTGGCACGCTAGGGTACAGGAGGAGCTCGACCACAAGAAGCCCTCCCCAGGAAACTCAACCCTGAGACCCCAGGACGTCCATAGGTTTCTGGTCTGGGAACGTCACGCTTTCCATAGCAAAACCATCAAACCCAAGAAAACCAGGGCAACCTGGAGGCAAGCAGGGTGTTTCTTGGAACGGATTTCCTATGTATTCTCTTCAATGGTTGGCTGGTCTCTACGGAGCGGTGTGCTACGCCATGCGAACCACGCGCTGCGTATGAAACTTCGTCACGAGGCCCGTCGCCGGAATGACCACCACAATCGGGCATCACAGGGCCTAAAGCATGCCAAGTATCAATCGGACACCCCAGACGCCTGTCGAATAATCAGTCCGAAAGCGTATTCTTACGTGCAAATAATCCGCCGACCACAAGTTCGATAACCCCCTTTACGCTGGCCGTCCCTAACGCGCGCGCACCCGGGCCAGACGTATGTTAGACACCCTTCTCCGCACAAATACTTTCACGCGTGAAGGCTCCGACGACAACAGGGTGGATACACCCCTTGG